TCTGGGATTGAGCCCTCCGCCAAACTCTGTACTAAGCCTGGAGTCTGCTTGTCCCTCTCCCTCTGCTTCCACCCCAACCCCTTAAAATAGATAAATAAATAAATAAAATCTTTTAAAAAATGCAGTCACCCATGAAACCTATACTTCTATCAAGATTACACTTCCATAACCCCAGAAAGTTCCTTTACTTTCTTTGAGTTCTTCTTCTCCAGAAGCAATCATTAATCTCATTTTTGGTGAAGTTTTGCCTTTCTAGAACTGCATATAAGTATCATACAGTATAAGCCCTTTTGTGACTGACTTCATTTACCCTGTTTTATCCATGTTGTTGTGTCTATCACTAGTTCATTCCTTCAGCATACTTTTAGTTTTGAATGTTCCTTTGAATGTGCCTAGAATCTCTGTGATAACATGAAGGGTAGGCAGGAGGGACAAGAGGGAAGGTCAATGGATTGGGATTTAGAACAGCTCGGTGCTAGGTTTGGCTCCATCAGTATACAACCTTTGGGATAATCTGTTTTGGTCTTCATTTTTCTCATCTGTAAAAAGATGAGATCATTGGCCTAAGAGGGAAACAGACTTGTCCAAGGTTAGCCAGTGCCAGCCAGGGATTGCTCCAGTTCACTCAATTCCTGGTTTAGTGCACGTTACTGAGATTTTGAGAACTGACTTTTTATGTAGACCATTAACTTCCAGGAAGATTGAATGGGGTTGAATTGGCAGTCTTCCTAGTTAAGGCCAACAGTTTCCTCAGCTTCATATTTTAGTTCCCTTCCTCTGGCTAAGGGTGCCTTCTTCTGCCACCACCACAGAAGGCTGGAATTTGCCAGCTGTGGACTCTAAAACGGTAGGTTTACTTAAGGAAGGAAAGCTCTCTGAGCATGCATTGGTTGGGTCTAGAACACTAGACCTGCCGGAAAGGCACTGAAGACAGGTGGCCAAAGTGTCTTGCGCTAGCTTAATGTGTACTTTGACCTCTTTGTGTCATTTATGTCTTCAAATGTGTGATCTCCCTGGAGAGTCTGAAATGATTCATTTAGTTCTAATAAATCCCCCCAGAATAACTTTCATTCATTTCAGGTTTAGGTCACCATTTAGACAGAATGCCCAGGCTCTGAAAGATGCCCAAGCTCCAAAGAATGAAAACTCTTCAGAAGATAGCTGCTAAAGAAGGAAAGAATCCCTCCCACTTCTGCCTGCTTTAAGTCCCTGCTGGAGCAGAGAGCCCTATCATTCTATACAGTGGGAAGCATAAGGTTTCAACCTGAACTGGCTCCAGTTCTCTTTGGATTTCTAGTCAGCAGCTCAAGGACTTAGCCTGGAAACTTTACCTGAGGGAGGGCAAGTGGGAGGCATCTCTTATTACTCACCTAGTAAAACACATTACCATGCAACTTTGTACTGAGCACAGGCCAAGTCCCCAGCCAAGGACCTTGCAGGGAAGGGCCAACTCATGAGCCACAGGGACGCCCAGCCAAGTCTCTCCACTTATCCCTGGCACCAAGCCCTGTACAGAGGTAGGTATAGATTGTCCTGGACAAGCATGGACCACCTTTAATTACAGCTCCATGGCTGTAGGCTCCAGAGCTGAGAGACTAAAATAACATGCCAATCTAGAACACTGTGGGCAAGGTGCACTGGTTAACCTCCTTTTTGTAAAACACTAAAAAAGCCAGCCAAACAAACAAATCTGTAATATTTACATAGTAAATAGTTACTTACTATTTGTTAAGCATCATACCAGGCAGTGGAAGATCAGGAGAGCACAGAACACAACAGCATAGACATAAGAATAAGACACACTTCAAAGTCTAGCCCCCAATCTAACCTTTATTTCCTCCTCTGTGGAGGGGAGTTAATGGAGTTACTGAGAAAATGTAACTCAGGAGAGCACCTAGCACATAACATCTAGTGAATGCTTACTATGTACCAGACACTGTTTCTAAGCTCTTTACCAAGATTAATTCTTTCAACAAGTCTATGAGGAAGGTCTATATTTATTAGTTTTAAGGCCTCTGAGGAAGGTTTTACATGCATTTTTCAGAAGAAAAAATAGATCCTGAGATGTTAAGTAATTTGCCTCAAACCAACAGCTAGTAAGTGGCATAGTGGGATTTGAAAGCAGTATGTCATAGAGATTGAGAGCAAACTTTGGAACCAAACAGCCTGAGTTAAATGCCTCATAAATATTGTATGACAGTATTTATTATATATATATATATATATACACATTATAAATATTATAATAGTTTTAATAGTTCAAAAATGCTAATAATTTTTATTTGCTATTTATATTATTATCCCTCATTTAATTCTCTGTGCCAAGAAAATAATAATTCTCTATTATGCCTATTTAATAGGAATTATCCCATTTATTTGAGGAAATAGGTTTGAGTGGCAACAGAGCCTGCTTCGCCCAAATACATTCTGTGACCCACCCAGTGTTAGCTCTGTGTTAGAGGTGGAGTCTTATAAAACTTGCACTTAGCTGGTTTGGAAGCTAGTCTTCTAGTGAGTACTTCTGTCCTTCTTCTACTAGAATCCCACCTGCCCTCCCCACAGACAGTTATTTCTATTTTAATTATACAAATTAATATGTAGATACATTTCTGTTATAAAAGATTTGAATATATAAGCAAATATAGTCCTTACTGATGGGAGTTTTACATGGTGAACATTTATTCACTATATAAACAATGTTGCAGTGAACATAATATATACAGCCTATAAAAATATATTCAAGAGGGTTCCTAAAAGAATTGCTGTTGAAATATATATTTTTATTTTTTTAAGTTTTTAAGTAATCTCTAAAGCCAACGTTGGGCTCAAATTCATGACCCCAAGATCAAGAGTTGCATACTCTTCTGGCAAAGCCAGCCAGTAAATATATAAATGTTTAAAATATTTACAGATCCTGGGGCACCTGGGTAGCTCCGTCAGTTAAGTGACCAACTCTTGATTTCAGCTCAGGTCATGACCTCAGGGTCATGAGATCAAACACCACATGGGGCTCCATGGTGAGAGGAATCCGCTTTCCTTCTCCCTCTACCCCTACCCCCATGCACGTGCACACATTCTCTCTCTCAAATATCTTTAAAAAAAGATAATATTTATAGATCCCATCAAACTGTCCTCCAGTAGCTTTATTAACTTATTATCCCTTCAGTGTGATTGTGCCTGTTCTTCATACCCACCAATACTGGCTGTTATAAATACTTTTGATTTTTGTTAATAGAAATAGCTAATACTACTTTATTTAACTTTGTTCAGTTTTTAATTGGGCTGTTTGCTTCTTACTGATTTCTAGGTTTTTGTTTTGTTTTGTTTTGTTTTTTTTAAAGAGAGAGAGAGAGCAAGCTGGGGGGCAGGGGGCGCGATGGGGAGAGACAAAGAGGGAGAGAATCTTCACAGAGCCCAACACAGGGCTTGATCTAAGGACCTTGAGATCATGACCTAAGCTAATATCAAGAGTTGAATCCTTAACTGACTGAGCCACCCAGGCACCACATGTTTCTAGGTACTTTTTACTTGTTGTAGATGGTATTCCTTTCTGTTACATATGTTACAAAGGGGTAATGTTTCCTTCATCACTTAAGGTTCAACTCAACTAACTCCCTTCTTTGAAATTCTTGCTGACAGCTCCAGTCCACACTGCTCTGATGACCCACAGCACTGAGCAGACAGGGCCCCACAGAGTCCTTACTGATTACTAATTGGATTTTACTGTTCTTTAAACTGGTATTCCTCTCATCTTCTCCCCTCTTTTCTTTTTCTCTCCTCCCCAGTCACCAACGCAAAGACTCAAAGTAGTTTTAGGGCTTACTATACTTCAGATTTGCACTTCTAATACATAGATGCTCAAGAAATGTTACTGATGGGGGCCCCTGGATGGCTCAAATCATTAAGTGTCTGCCTTTGGCTCAGGTAATGATCTCAGGGTCCTGGGATCAAGCCCCACATCAGGCTCCCTGCTCAGTGGGGAGTCTGTTTCTCCCTCTCCCTCTGCTGCTCCCCCTGCTTATGTTCTTGCCGTCAAATAAATAAAATTAAAAAAAAAAAAAGTTACTGATGATGATGAGAGCATACACCCCTTTACATTCCAGCTTCGATGGTAGGAGTTACTCTTCCACCTCCTTTCCCACTCCCAAATGCCTCCCAGGGCTAGATAGAAAACCGAATGGGCAATGTAGCTCCATGGAAAAAAAATGAGAAGCAATGGCAACTGTTATTAACTGGAGAATACAACCATCTCAAAGAGGAATCGTTACTCAATTCCAGCAAATTGTCAAGTGGGAATATAAGCTCCATGATGATAGCTTCTCCATTTTTTAAGAGCTGAAAATCTGAATTTTATGTTAAATGTGCCTTTTATTTATTTACTTTTTTATGGCATAAAGGGGATTCAGCCACTTAAAAAAGATTTTATTTATTTGACAGAGAGAGAGAGTGCACAAGTAGGCAGAGTGGCAGGGAGAGGGAGAAGCAGGCTCCCTGCTGAGCAGAGAGCCCAATGTGGGGAATGATCCCAGACTCCATTATCATGACTTGAGCCAAAGGCAAACGCTCAACTGACCGAGCCACCCAGGCGCCCCTGTTAAAAGTGCCTGTTAAATGTCAGGGGGTGCCTGGGTGGCTCAGTGGGTTAAAGCCTCTGCCTTCGGCTCAGGTCATGGTCCCAGTGTCCTGGGATTGAGCCCCACATTGGGCTCTCTGCTCAGCAGGGAACCTGCTTCCTCCTCTCTCTCTCTCTGCCTGCCTCTCTGCCTACTTGTGATCTCTGTCAAATAAATAAATAAAATCTTTAAAAAAAAAAATTAAATGTCAGGCAACATTGTGTGTTTGTTGGGCTGTGAGCATGTTGAGGTCAGACTCTGCATCTGTCTGGTATATAAGAGGAACTCAATGTTTATTTTCCCATATGTTTTCTTCCTTCTACTAGATTGAATGAAATATCCAGATCAACGAAGGAAAGATAAAAGCACTTACATAATGGCTAGTAATTAGTTGTTCTAATGTTGTTTTATTTCCACCCTTCAAACCAGAATAAGTAACACGAAGAAAGAGATCCTATTATTCATCACATCAGATCATTTCATTCACACAGTAGCTGGCACAAGGAAAGGTCTTAGAAAAACTTGTCAGTCATGTGTTGAACCAATGATGAATAAATGAAGACCTGACGAGGTAACCAATTTACATTTAGATTGTGAATTTACTTTTCAAATTAAGTGTCCATGAAATCAGTACTTGGCACACTGACCCAAGATGTAGGACAGAAGACCATCCATTAACCCCACTCTTTGTTTTACTTGGCAAATACCAGTCAATATTTAATATTGGTGGAACATGATGGGTGAAGATGTGTGGTATCTCAGCATGAAAATACCACAGCTCTTTACAGCAGTCATGTCCAAACCCATGGCTGCCTAGCTTTCAACGTCAGTCTTAGCTGAAGATAGTCCCCGAGTTTTATACCTCTTGGCCCACACTTCCGCTGTTCAGGACTTCTTCCCGGGATCTCTCTGGGTGCTAGTTTCTGCAGGGCCATTCTCTGGGGATAGGCGGTTTGGAGTCTCAGTGGTGGGACGGCCTCGCTCTTTCCTCCTCTGCAGCTCCTCCCGCTGCCTTGCCTGCTGTTCACTCATGCAGTCCCTGAAGGCCTGTACCTGCGGCTGACACTGGCGCCAGTCCTGGTGTTGGGCCATGCACTCCTGTACTGCATAATGGGAAGCAGCACAGCCAGAACGGGAGATCAGCCGGTCCAGGGGGTCCTCTTCCTCATCTTCCTTCTTTACCTGTCGGGCCCAGGTATGGCCTTGAGTTGACATCTTTGGGAATCTCTGGAACATCAATGGAGGCAAGGTTAGAGTAGGGATGTGACTATGAGGTTCCCCTATTATAAATAACATTGACCAAACCTATTTTGGTTTGGTTTAGCCTATTTATGCATTTGTCTCCCATTGGAGACTATAAGCTTATTTGAGAACAGATATTCGGCCTGATTCACCCTGATGCCATCAGCAATAGGCCTGGCAAGAGAACAGATCTGCAAAATGGTCTGAACTCAATGAAATGACATCAAGTATATGAGAGGGTTTAGCACAGCACTAAATAAGCTAGAATGGATTCTGCTAATGGAATCTGAAATGGGTGAAATGTCACCTTTTTGGAGCACCTGCCTTGGATCCAACCCAAAATAATTAGTCTCTCTTCTTTTCTCCTATTAGCCTTTTCCTATGGTTGGAAAAGAACATGGTTTAACACTTGGGAGAGTACCTAAATATGGGTAGGGTTTAACATACAGGAGAAATGGAGAGTTCAGTGTGGCTGTAGCATACAATGTGCATGGGCCGGGGCAACAGATGAGTCTGTGAGATGAGAGTGTTTAATGTGATGTGGATTTGCCCAGACTGTCTTCCCAAGATCATCTGCTTCACAGCACCTAGTAGAAAGTAGCCTACAGAAAGAATCTGAGAAAGGTTTGAAGGGAAATAAACTCAGCCTTTACACACATTTCACCATGATAGGCTTTAAGGGAAGTAGTACTCTTCCTGTGTCTCTCTGATTCATTCAACAAAGGATCATTGAGTATGTATCATGTATGAGGCACTACGCTAGAGGATACAGGAGTGACCAAGACCGACTGAGTTCCTGCCTTAATAGTGTACAATCTATGTAATAAACAGACTACAACGCAGTATGTACAGATATCGAAGACTGGGAACACACTGGAGGAACACCTAAACCAGACATGGCAGGAACAGGCAGGGAAGGCTTCCTGGAGGAAGTGACTCCTAAACTGAGACTTGAAGGATAAATAGGAGCTAGCCAGAGATGGGGAGAAGGTCTATTCCCAATCAATGGAAGAGCAGGATCACATGTTGAGACAGGATCTAACACAGGAAAGGAACTGAAAGTTCTGTATGGCTGAAGAATAGCATATGAAGAGAACTGTAAAACAAATGAAATTGGCGCTATGAGAAAGTATCTAATCATAGCAAGGTTTTGTTGGCCATAGTAAGCAGTGTGGAAATTACAAAGATTTAAGGACTCCAAAGCCTTACCCAAAAGTCATTTGCTTTGGAGGCAAACCTGAGGAAGGAGGGGGTAAATAGGCTTTGAAAAGGGACTGGGATTGGAAACCTAGTTTTGTCACTAACTGGAAGACCTTAAGAAAATCACTTCGTAGTCTCTCTTTAAAAAAATAGTGTCTACCTCACAGGACTGTTGAAGGCTAAATGAGATAATGCACTTAAGAAGCCTGGCACGTCCAAAGATTTTATTACTGTACAGAAAAAGTGCCCTGGATTCTAACCCAAGAGATCCAGATTCGAATCCCAGCACCACGTCTTACCACACAATCTTTTTAGATTCCTCCTTAATAATATTTAACTCATAGAATTAATGTAAAGATTAATATGATAATGAACGAGAACTGCACGGACAACAGGACTCAGTAATGCCACGGTACTCTCTCCCCACTACATCCAGCTTCAGTCTTCCCTGGAGTGAAAAGAGGAAGACCCATGCTGGGAGATCAAGGCAGGCTACACAGTCGGCAGCTGGCCTGGACTGGGAAGGCCTGGGAAAGCAGAGAAATTCAATTGTCCAAGTCACCTACAGCTACTCTCCTACTTTAACGAGAGAACGCATGCGCGCACGCGGCAGTTAGCCGCAGTCCCGCCGTGCCCGCTACGCCTCTCTGCGCAAAGACGCGGTATGCAGTGCTCACCGAACAGGTTGGACACGAGAACTCGGACGCGCGTTCTAGCACGTCGACGTCCGTTTTGCAGGCAGTTGGAACTCTTCCGACCCTCCGACCGAAAACCAACCTCTCGGGGCGGGGGGGGGGGGTGTAGGCGGGGAACCTGAGCGCGGAAGTGGGAGGGAGAGGGACCGGCCACATGTATTCATTGGTGGCCTCTCAGTATAGATCCCGCCCCCAGTCCTTGTTGCAACCCCTTGGCGACCCACTTCCGGCAAAGAGCGGAAGAGGCGGGGTCAAGATGGCGGCGCCTCTGAGGATTCAGAGCGACTGGGCCCAAGCCCTCAGGTGAATGAAGACCCATAACTGGGACGGAGGAGGGTAACGCGTGTTGTCTTTGCGTTAAGGAGAGCTGTATCCAGTCCAGGATAGGGATTACCTTCATCATTTGTTGAGGGAATCACTGGATGTAGCAAACCCACATGGTAATTTTTCTTCGTTTTCCGCAGAGCTGTCCTGAGGCAACGTATATGTGCTGTGATCCCAGTATTAGAACTAGGATCAATGATTGGAGAAAGACAGGAAAACTGGGAGGCAGGAAGACTTTTGGGCGAGAAGTCATTTAGCAAATATTTACTGTTCGTCAGTTATTTGCAAAGGTCCTACTCAACCATCTCCACGTTGTCTTTGAGTTTATGATGAAATCTTTGTATCCTCCTTGGACCCCTAGTGCTGTGTTAGATATATTGCACAGTTCTATTCAGGAAACAATGTAACATCCACTATGCCCAGGCTGTGTGCGGGTGGAGTTTAGATGAATAATCTAAATTTAAAGGGTGGCTCCTGCCTTCAGGAACCTGACAGCGTAATTGGGGATGCACAGCAAACCATTCATTTAACATATTTATTGATCGTATACTGTGCAGGTTGTTACTCTGCACCAGGACGAGTACAGCAGTGCCGTGAATGGCAACTGTTATTACTAATAGGGGTTTTTCTATTTCTAATAAGGGTTTCTACATTGAAACCATGGTAAAGATGAAAACAGCCTTTTGCAATTAAGAAAATTATGCTTTACTATGTGAGCCAAAATAAAATACACATTACTTACTACGATAAGTAGTAAAGTAATAAAGATAAGTAATAAAGGAAGGACATTGACATTTACTGAGGGGCACCAGGTAAAGTGGTGCCTAGGAGAGAATGCTGGAGAGGAATCTAAGGAAGTAACTTGTCCAAGATTTTGTAGCCAGTGATAGAGAATTACTGTCAACCTAAATCAATCAATCTTTCTTTCTTTCTTTCTTTCTTTCTTTCTTTCTTTCTTTCTTTCTTCTTAAGATTTTATGTGTTTATTTGAGAGAGAGAGCATGAGCAGAGGGAGAGGGAGAAGCAGACTCCCCACTGAGCAGGGAGCCCGATGCAGGGCTCTATCCCAGGACCCTGGGTTCATGACCTGAGGCCAAGGCAGACACTTAACCGACTGAGCCACCCAGGTTCCCCTAAATCTTTCTGTCTTAAAAGTGTCAGTCTGGGTGTGTGTGTGGGGAGGATAGGGTGGCTGGGTTATGGACATTGGGGAGGGTATGTGCTATGGTGAGTACTGTGAATTGTGTAAGACTGATGATTCACTGACCTGTACCCCTGAAGTAAATAATACATTGTATGTTAATAAAAAAGTAAAAAAATAAATAAAAATTGAAAAAATAAAAGTATAGGTCTTTTTCACTGTAACCTAAAAATGTTAAGAGTGATGAAATAAAGATTTGGATGATTGGGGCGGTGCATTCTAAAACTTAAAAAGTCAGTGTGAGCTGGTGGAGTGCAGAAATTGTATACTAGTCCCATGTTTCTGTTCCTGCTTTCCAGATAGCTAGGTGACCTTGGACAAGTCACTTTCTGAGCTTCAGTTTTATCTTTAACATGGGGATAATAAAAGACATTTTCTTAAATTGTGAGGATTAATGATACTGTTTGCAAAATGCCTAGCACAGGGCTTGGCTTACAATAATCCCAGTAAATATCTAAATATAAAGTATTTGTGATTTTTCAAAGCTGTGTAACTTATAAATGAATAGAGAACTCCCTCTTGTTGAAGTATTTGAATATTCATTTAACCTGTTTTTGAAGTATTTGAATATTCATTTAACCAATAGACATCTATGTATTAAACACTTAATGCATCAATATTTTTTTAATAAATCTTGTTTTATAATAATATAAGCCTGGATGAGATATTAGACTAGTCATACCTAAGTACTGTCCAAACTAAAGATTATATGATCTTCTTTCTCCCTTGCACCAGGGGCATCCTTTTCAGCATTGAATGAGCCTAATTAGTCTTTTGTCTCTCTTCACAGGAAGGATGAAGGGGAAGCCTGGCTGAGTTGTCACCCCCCAGGTAATGTCCATTTGCCCAAATTAATATGCCTTCTTTTAGAGGTAGGGGGATTTACTACCCTTAGAAGAGAGCTGCATACTTTCTTTTGGCTCAAACTCCTTGCACAATGCTCATAATCTTCAAATGTTCGTGACCAGTTTATGTGTAGGATATTTTATTTAGGCCCCATCACTGCAAAAGCAGTGTTCTCCTTAAGCAGATTTTCTAGATTACTGAAGCGTAACTCTATGCTATGTATTATGTGTATATACTGTGGCTAAATGTATGTGTGTATGTTGATCTTCATCTTTCATTGTGGAAGAATTTCATTTCACAGTAAAACTGAATTTGAGATTGCTTTAGTAGATTTTTTTTTTTTTTTAAGATTGATTTATTTTTGGCGGGGGGCAGGAGCAGAGGGAGAAGGAAAGAAACTCAAGCAGACAGTGCACTGAGTTCACACCATGGTCCAGGGCTCCATTTTGAGACCCTGAGATCACAACTCTGAGATCATGACCTGAGCCAAAATCAAGAGTTGGGTGCTTAACTGACTGTGCCACCCAGGAACCCCCTAGTAGCTTTCTCACAAATGCTGTAACTTTAAATCTTTGTATCTAATTTTTAGCTCTTGAGCATATTCCTACCAAATTAGGTTCACCCAGGCTAGGGCTTTTTTCTCTTCACCTTACCTTATACAAGTACCTTCTTTTCTTTCATGAACCAATTTCCTGCCATTTGTATAGATGCCTGAATTGAATCTTCAAGGAGAACAATGTTCAATTCTTATTATTTTCCTGAGACAACGCTTCTTTTGTGTTATGTAGGTAAACCAACTTTGTATGGCAGCCTAACTTGTCAAGGAATTGGCCAGGATGGCATCCCAGAAGTTACAGCTTCAGAAGGATTTATTGTGAATGAGATAAACAAGGTAGGTTTTTATATCCTCTAAATGACACTGGGTCTAAAACTGGGGTAATACCCATATATCTACTTTAAATATTTATACTGTTATTTATATATCTTTGTCATCTTTATTTTATTTGTATAGTAATCACAGTTTTTACTGCCTTGGATGTCAAGAGTTGTTTTTTTTTTCTTTTGTAGTTACATGTGCTTTGAGATACTTTTAATTGCATACACTTCCCTTATATCAGCGCTGTCCGATAGATGAATTATGTAAGCCACATATGTAATGTAAAATTTTTTAAGAGCCACATAGAAAGTAAAAATAGGGACACCTGGGTGGCTCAGTTGTTAAGCGGCTGCCTTCGGCTTAGGTCACGATCCCAGGGTCCTGGGATTGAGCCCCACATCGGGCTCCCTGCTTGGCGGAAAGCCTGCTTCTCCCTTGCCTGCTCCCACTGCTTATGTTCCCTCTCTCACTGTGTCTCTCTCTGTCAAATAAATAAATAAATAATCTTAAAAAAAAGGTAAAAAGAAACAGGTGAAATTAATTTTAATAATATATTTTATTTAATGCAATAAATCTAAAATACTATTTCAACTTATAATTAATATTAAAAAATTATTAGTGAGATATTGTACATTCCTTTTTTCTTATTGAGTTTTTGAGACCCTGTGTGTATCTTATATTTACTACACATCTCAATTCAGACTCTAATTTTTTATTGAAAATAAGTAAGTAGGGGCACCTGGGTGGCTCAGTGGATTAAGCCGCTGCCTTTGTCTCAGGTCATGATCTCAGGGTCCTGGGATCGAGCCCCGCATCGGGCTCTCTGCTTAGCAGGGAGCTTGCTTCTCCCTCTCTCTCTGCCTGACTCTCTGCCTACTTGTGATCTCTCTCTGTCAAATAAATAAAATCTTTAAAAAAAAAAAAAAAAGAAAAGAAACAAGTAAAGGTATTTAGGTTGTATAAATTTAGAGTTGAGAACATAAATTCACATACCCAGGTAGTTCCAGATATATTTAAAAAGTTTTCCAAAAACTGAGGCAAGTATCAGTTTTTAAATTAAACTTTAAATAAAATTAAAAAATGCTTTTCTTCATATATGCTGGCTGTATTTCAAATGCTCAATAATCTCTTTTGGCCAGTATCTACCATATTGGACAGCATAGCCTTTACAATGTATCTGGCAAGGCCTTGATGAAGACCTACATAAATAGTAGTTTTTCTCATTGTCTTTGAGGTGAGTAGATAGCCAAACTAAGTATTGCAGAAACCATGATCTGGTGAAGTGTGTAATTAAATTTTTTTCAGTTGTGAAATAGTTCAGGTATACTGATAAGAATGGATACTTTGTTTTTTACATAAGACTTTAAATGTTAATTTATTCCAATTTGTGAAAGCTAATAGGCTGTATGTTATTATATATTTTTTGCATTTGTTTTTCAGAAACAGCTATGGCATAGTAGAAACTGTCAGAAGATCTGAGTTCAAGTTTTAGTTAACTCTGACACTAGTAATATGATTCTTGGACAAATAACTTAGTTCTCTGAGCCTATTTCCTCATTTACAAAATGGAGGAGATGTGCTACCTATAGACTGATTAACATGGAGTGAGACTGCATATGAATGAAACTAAAATCTTACAAAAGTGAGTTGTTGTTCATCATAACAATCCTGTGGGATTGGCATTTTAAATTTCCATTTTGCATATCTCCAAACAGACTCAGAGACATTAATTAACCCTAATAATCAAAGCTAATTAGACTGTATGCCAGAATTGAAACCAGTTCTATAAACTTCTAGGTATGGACACTACCTTGCAAGCCTACATTTTTCCCAGGTGTTTTGCCCATATACATCCATAGCTTCAGTGCTGACTTCCTTTCTTCCCTTCATACTTAGGCCCTCATACAGTCCTTACCTCTTCCAACAGTATTGCTAATTTCTGTCTTGTACCTGCTGGGTCAGACAGTAAATGCTTATGGTTGAGCATTCATTTGTTTCCTAATTGCCATGAGTCACTTTGCTCTTTGATGTTGCTGCATTGTTCTCTTGAACAGTAGATTATGCTTAAATATCTAAACCTGGAGGATAAAAATGTTTGACTTTGAATTTTATCTTAGTGTGGAATGCCCACACTCCTCCTTTGACCCCCCCCCACCCTGCATTTTATGTTTTGCTATCTCTTGCAGCTTTTCATTACAATATTTTGATTAACAGCATGATTCTCTACTGCTGATATTGGAAGGTAGTTCAACATTTCTCTTCCTCCATAGTTTGTTTATGGATTAAAGGTTGATTTGGTCAATTGATAAGCAGGAGAAAACTACTAATTCTTGAAATCTTTCACATAATTAGTCCCAAAGAAATGAAGTTTTCTGAGAACAAACACAATTCTTAGAGATGCCTGAACACTAAGTTCATGGAGTTCCTTGAATCCTTGCTGGTAGGAATATTTAAGCCAGGAGAGTTTAGCTGACACTCTAGTTTTGGGTATAGGAGGCAATTCCAAATCCAGGTCAACTCTCTTGCAGCTGTGTGGGCTTTCTTATGGGGTTAGAAGCAAAATTCATTTGGTGAAAAGACTGCAGGCAGCCACATATGGCTATGCTGGCTAAGAAAGTGCTATTTATATAGACAGATATTCTAATTGCCTTTTTAAAAAAAGATTTTATTTATTTATTTGACAGAGAGAGAGATCACAAGTAGGCAGTGAGGTAGGGGGAAGCAGGCTCCCCACTGAGCAGAGAGCCTGATGTGGGACTTGATCCCAGGACCCTGAGATCATGACCTGAGCAGAAGGCAGAGGCTTAACCCACTGAGCCACCCAGGCGCTCCTCTAATTGCCTTTTTAAACGAGTAGAAGACTTGTAGTAAGAGCATTTTGATTTTTAGTGATGAGACTGTTACTACTTTGAAATTGTTCTTTCTAAAGAACTGTGAGGACCTGTGTTTGCTATGTATATATTAGTCTTAAAAGAGTTTTAGAAAATCTTGACTTTGGAAGACATTTTCATTGTTCAGTAGAATTTCCAAAAACTTTGAAGTACTGCTGCAGAAGAGATAACAGGTTGGGGCTGTTTGGCAAGTGTAACTCTACTGAGCTCCCTATAGGAGGTATACACTTAGGTGGTGGTTTCGGTATTCAGCCATTTAGATTAAAGGACTCGTATTGCAAGAATCCCCGAAGGGTTTACTAAGCCTTTTATACCTCTATACGTGCTACCTTGAAACACCAACATACTTAATCTTAAATGGTTACGAAGGCTGCCTTGTGCAAGTCCTATCGCCTGAACCTAACATCTTTTTCTAGATATAATTTGAATGTCACCATTCAACTATGTCACCAGTGTTTTCTTGCTACAGTAGTTGAAAGATATGTTATAATGACTAGCAAAACACGTGAGGAATTCATACAGCTGTGGGGCGATGAGCCGTCTATGAACATGGGTGAACTGTTGGAATGGGCACTGCAAGCCTGACCAGGGCCTACAGATTGTATAAGTGTACCATAATTTGCCAGTTTTTTTCTGTGGTAACTATAGATGTCCGTAGTCTTAACATTTTTTCTTAAAGTTCCTGTAGGCAGTAAGTTAGCTTTTAGACTAGTCTTTTAGGTGCTAGACTTGGAGTCTGGTTGGTGATGTTTTCTCCTGTCTGTTAATCCTATTCCTTGCCCCACTGCTAACTGAGAGTACTCATATTAGATTTTCTTTGAAAAATTAATGCTCTCATATTAGTATCTTACTGTTGGTTTATCTTCTGTGGGAGTTTACTTCAATATAAAAAGATAAGGGCAGCTAAACAATACCAAATTACATTGCGGCCCTTTGCAATAAAAGGACTGCTAATCTATAAGGGAGTGGTAGTGTTGTGAGCTGGCAAAGGAGGATTAGAAAGGGTACATTTAAAAAGTTAGAATTTCCAGGGCATCTGGGTAGCTCAGTGGGTTAAGCCTCTGCCTTCCGCTCAGATCATGATCGCAGGGTCCTGGGATCAAGCCACACATCGGGCTCTCTGCTCAGCAGGGAGCCTGCTTCCCCCTCTCTCTCTGCCTGCCTCTCTGCCTACTTGTGATCTCTGTCTGTCAAATAAATAAATAAATAATAAAATCTTAAAAAAAAAAAGTTAGAATTTCCTATCATCTACATTTTCTTTAAGAGCCTTTCATTCCACTGGAGTAACTTTACTGATGAGTTTCTTCTTTCCCTCTCTATTTAGAAAAGCATTCATATTTCTTGTCCGAAGGAAAATGCATCCTCAAAGTTTTTGGCACCATACACTACTTTTTCCAGAATTCATTCAAAGAGTGTAAGTATTTTGATAAAATGAGAGAATATAATGACATGTTAATTTTTCATTTCGTCTGCTTGAGTGCTATAAACATACTCATAATTAATGTGTCTTTCATTTACTGTGTATTAAGGTACCATAGCTGAAGTGTTTAGTTTAGTTTTTTTGCTTGGCAAAACTGGTATTTGGGTCCACATAGAATATGTATATAAATCTACTCACTGGCAATTTTAGAGAGTGGAATTGTCTGAGGTTTACTTATTTTTGTTTTAACAGAGCTGCTTAGTTGCTTTTGGATAATGATAGTAGCTGTGTTTATGTAATTTGCCATTGTTTATATTTCTGTCTCATTGCCTACAGGACAGGGATGTTTTATCAAAATTCTAAGTATAGCATATTGAGGAATAATTTTCAGAGGTCTCTGTGATAATGCCCTTTCTACTACCATGATCTTTTTGGAAGCATAAATGAGAAATATTTGGATAAACTGATTATATTAAAGCCTTCCATTATATTGTATAGTACATTTTACAAAATGGCTATTTTTTATCCTTATAAAACAGACATAGTTTACGTGATGAAAATTTAGGAACTATCAAAAGGTGAAAAATCACTCACATTCTACAACCTAAAGTAACTAAAGTAACTATTGTGAACTTCTGTTACAAATGCTGTATTAATAATACAGTAGTAATAGCTACTATGTGTCTGCACCATGTGATTGTGTGCTCTGTGTCTGCACCATGTGAAGCTTTATGTATTATTTCACTCAATTCTCATCTTTTTTCTTTCTTTTATTTTAAAAGATTTTATTTATTTATTAGAGAGAGTGTAAGAGAGAGAGAGTGTGCGTGAGCAGGGGGACGGGCAGAGGGAGAGAGAGAAGCTGACTGCCCGCTGAGCAGGGAGCTTGGTGTGGGACTTGATATTGAAGTCAGACGTTTAACCAACTGAGCCACTAAGGCACGCCTCCCTGTCTTTTTTCTTTAAATATTTTACCAAAATAGGTTTTTACAGTACATACTGTTTTATAACTTGTATTCTATTCCTTAATAATGTGTACATCATTGTATGTCATCTTTCTTCATATTCTTTTTTTTTTTCCAGAGTATCTTTTTAAAACATTTTTTTATTTTTTTAAAGATTTTATTTATTTATTTGACAGGGAGCGATCACAAGTAGGCAGAGAGGCAGGCAGAGAGAAAGGGCTCAATCCCAGGACCCTGAGATCATGACCTGAGCTGAAGCCAGAGGCTTAACCCACTGAGCCACCCTGGTGCCCCTCTGCATATTCTTTTAAGAGCTGCATAGTATTCCTACTGTATGATTTACTACAATTCATTTTTCCAGTCTTATATTACTGGACTTTCAGGTATTTTTGATTTCCTGATTTTATACTTTGATGATTTGGCTAACCCTTTATTCACAAAGTTAGGAAGAAATTAGAATACATTTATAAAATAGAGTTGCTGAGTCATGGGAAGTGCAAGTTATAAGGCTTTTGGTATGTTCTGACTTCCACTTAACTAATTTATGGAGTTAACTATTGCCCTGCCTTTCCTGTGTAAAACGTACTGACTGATGCTCACAGCAGGTTCACGGCTTGTAAGCTCTTCTCTGGGATCTACATACTGCGATACTACTGGTTAAATTGAATGCTTACCAAGGATAAATTACATTATCAATTATATTGTTTTTGAAACTTTGTTAATTAAATACAGTAAACCAATGTAATATGAGGATGAAAAGACAGAGTGATTATGTCTTTGAAAACTAAATGGTTGCTTTGGAAAGCCTTGATAAAGAAGAGATTTTTTAAAAAAACAGCTATAATAGAAGCACATGGGTGGCTCAGTCAAGTTGAACGTCTGGTTCATGATTTCAGCTCAGGTCATCATCTCAGGGTCTTGGGATCAAGCCCCATCTCGGCTCCTGACTCAGCAGGGAGTCTGCTAAGATTCTCTCTCTCCCTCTTCCCCTCCCTCCACCAACAAATCTCTAAAATAAATTTAAAAATAATGGCTATAATAGTATATGTGGGCAAGATAAATGCAGACTGTTATGGAAAAGATTTCTTGTAAAAATCCTAGGTGAATTTTGCTCTTAGATTGCTTTATAAATGTGAATAAAGATTTGCCTTGCTTTAAAGAAATCAAGTTATGAATTGTGCCTTTTGATTTATAGTTTATTACAAGAAAGTAATATTACAAGAAAGGTTATTATTAGAAATATAGTTTATTACAAGAAGGTGAAACTTCCTTTTTTTTTATTTATTTTTTTTTATTTTTATTTTTTAATATTTTTTTTATTTTTTTAAAGATTTTTATTTATTTATCTCACAGGTAGAGGTTACAAGTAGGCAGAGAGGCAGGCAGAGACAGAGAGGAGGAAGCAGGCTCCCTGAGCAGAGAGCCTGATGTGGGGCTCGATCCCAGGACCCTGGGATCATGACCTGAGCCGAAGGCAGAGGCTTTAACCCCCTGAGCCACCCAGGCGCCCCGAAACTTCCTTTTTTGACTTTAAAACATTTTAATAATGTGTATACTTTATTTAATTAATTAACATATAATGTACTATTAGTTTCAGAGGTAGAGTTCAGTGATTCATCAGTCTTACATACCACCCAGTGCTCATTACATCATGTGCCCTCCTTACTTTTCATCATCCAGTTACCCCAGCCCCTCCTCCTCCTCTCCTCTCAAGCAACCCTCAGTTTGTTTCCTATGATAATGGGTCTCTTATGGTTTGTCTCCCTCTCTGGTTTCATCTTGTTTCATTTCTCCCTCTCTTTCCCTGTAATCTTCTGTTTTGCTTCTTAAATTCCACATATGAATGAGATCATATGATAATTGTCTTTCTCAGATTGATTTATTTTGCTTGGCATAATACCCTCTAGTTCCATCGACATCATTGCAAATGGCAAGATTTCATTTTTTGATGGCTGAGTAGTATTCCATTATGTATATATACCACATCTTTTTTTTTTTTAAGATTTTATTTATTTATTTGACAGAGATCACAAGTAGGCAGAGAGACAGGAGGGGGTTGGGGGAAGCAGGCACCCTGCTGAGCAGAGAGCCCAATGTGGGGCTCCATACCAGGACCCTGGGATCATGACCTGAGCCGAAGGCAGAGGCTTAACCCACTGAGCCACCCAGGTGCCCCTATACCACATCTTCTTTACCCATTCATCTGTCTGTGAACATCTGGACCCTTTCCATAGTTTGACTATTGTGAACATTGCTCTTAGAAACATTGGGGTACACATGTTCCTTCAAATCAACATTTTTGTATCCTTTGGATAAATACCTAGCAGTACAACTGCTGAGTCATAGGGTAACTCTATTTTCAGCTTTCTGAGGAAACTCCATGCTGTTTTCCAGAGTGGCTGTACCAGCTTGCATTCCCACCAATAGTGAAAGAGAGTTCCCCTTTCTCTGCATCCTGACCAACATCAATTATTTCCTGACTTGTTAGTTTTAGCCATTCTGGCCGGTATGAAGTGGTTATATCATTGTATTTTAATTTGTATTTCCTTGATGCTGAGTGATGTTGAGCATTTTTTTCATGTGTCTTTTGGCCATTTAGATGTCTTTGGAGAAATGTCTGTTCATTTCTTTTGCCATTTCTTGACTGGATTATTCTTTGGGTGTTGGGTTTGATAAGTTCTTTATAAATTTCGGATATTAGCCCTTTATCTGATATGTCATTTGCAAATATCTTCTCCCATTCTGTCAGTTGTCTCTTTATAATTGTTATTTTGAAATCTAGCTCTGACATATTACTCACATCCATACTGATTAGGTCTCTGGCAGTCAGTACTGCCTCTAGTTCTCTTTCTTGAGGTGAGTTTTTCCATCTTGTCATTCTGTTCAGAGAACAGATGAGTGAGAGAACAAAATAGTAATATGGCAACAAAGACCCCAGAGATCTGAAACGGAAAAAAAAAATTTTTTTTAAAGTATACAATCAGACAGGTGAACAGAATAGAGCAATGTACTGCATCCTGTGTTTATTTTGCTTGTTTGTTAGAAAACTATATTCCAAAATTGTAAAGAAAGAAAAACTTATATACGTACAAAAATACAGTTAAATACAATGAAAGGTTAGATTATACTATAAAAATGAAAATTAAAAGCCAAAAAAAAAAAAGAAAATATAGTCAGACAGGTGAACAGAACAGAGCAATACACTTTAATCTGGGTGTGTTTTGTTCTATTTGTTAGAAGAAACTATATCCCAAAATTGTAAAGAAAGAAAAACTGAACTGTCACCATGACTAACATGAATAGCTCAGAGCAGGCCTGCACTGACCTGGAGCGGTAGGACCGGTGCTTCAATTGCTGGTTTGCCAAGAAGTTCCTCAAGGGCGAGGTCAGCTCCTCAGGCCCCTGCACCAACCTCTTCAGGCACTATCAGCAGTGTGTTTAGAGAGCAATAAAGGAGAAGGAGACTCCCATTGAGGGATTGGAATTCACGGGCCCTGCAAAGAAAAGCCTGAAAGCTCTTCTTGACCTTGACAGTCACCTTGAAAATAGACTCCTTCAGTTAGGAAAATGAGGACACTGGATTTTGTCAATTAAAGCTGTGAAAATAGCCATTGATTTGATGAGGAGTTTAGGAGGGAGGAGTTTTCTTTCCTCCTTGATTTCCTCTCACTTGTAAAAGATGCGTCACTCTTTGCTTTGAGGTGATTTTTCACTTACTCTGGCATCTTAGAGGAACTCCATGTGCTGAAACTGAATGATTTCTTAGGATTATGGTTGCAGTACTTGGTCTGGGATCAGACTTACATATCCTTTGTATATAAATACTGATAAACTTGTCAGGATGTTCAGGGCTGCCTAACTTCTTGAGTTTTACTGCGAAGGACATTGGGTACCTTGTACTAGGGTTGTTATTCATGGAAGCAGTTGGTTAGGATCTCTCTTTTCTCTCAAGAAGCTAACGCTCTGAAAAGGGATCCCAGCCCAACAATTTTGATCAATGCTTGGGAGAACAATTTTATTTTTATATGA